GAAGTCAAGGACATAGATTTTTCGGAATCTCCCCCTCTAAAGAAAACAGTGATACAATCTAGAAGAGGGAGATAAGGTCACAAAAGAACTCTCTCAGCTAACAGTTAAGATGCTAAAGGAGGAGGGAGATCAAGGCTCGGATTCACAAGATTACAACAATGTATTGCATCACATGCATTTTAGATTTTGTAATCTAATCTGTTCTGTTTCACAATTTGTGCAATCCTAGTACTTGATAAAACTTTTATGTAGATCAACCAGGAAAAAAAGTTGTTTTTTAAAATGTTCAAATTAAGTTTACCTTACTTTCGAATGAGTTGCTACAAAAATCTTTCAGACAAAGCTAAAGTATTCTATAATGGGTCAGACTGGGGACATCTGTAGCTCAAACTACATGTTCATCTACAGCAGACATGTCAAACTCGCGACATCACGTGATGTATTGGAACTTTTTCCCCATTGCCGGCAATGGGGTGGTGGGTGGTCGTGGTTTCCTTGTGACATGTCCGGCCCGTGGGCCAGTAATTTGACACCCCTGATCTACAGGGTACGTGATAAGTGCTTCCAAGAAAAATCTGTTACTCTTTTGGAATCACATTATGGAATGCAATTTTTTTTTTCTGAAACGGTCTAAGATTCTCAGTTATAAAGTTCCAATTGCTTCCAGTGAAACATTTTTGTATCACAACCAATGAATATTGTATCTTGAACTGAGGCAAAAAGGAGGACCAACAAATTCAGAAAATGAATACATATCCTTTTGTGAATTTGTTCGTCCCTTTTTTTTTGCCTCACTTCAAGATACAATATTCATTATTCATAGGTTGTGATACAAATTTTTTTCACTGGAAGCAATTGGAACTTTGTAATTGATATAGAAAAGGTTAAAGAAAAAGCATACATAGAGGTGATCCTCATTTAACAACCACTTGTTCAGTAATCATTCAAACTTGTGACATTGCTGAACAAATGATAGTAATGACTACTGCTCAAAGTTCTGGCTTTTGCAGAGCCCCCATGGGTGTGATCTGGACACTTGGCAACCAGCCTGGATTTCCAAACATGGTAGCATCCTGTGGTCACATTGTCAGTATCGTTGCTGGCTTCCCAGAAGAAAAAAGCACTGGGAAAACTGGCAGAAATAAGAAGTCACAATCATATGAGGCCCTCATTTAACAAAGTAACCAAGGACTGTCTTAACTGCTATTGCTAAGCAGAACAGACACAACTGCGTCGCTTAGTGATGAAAATTCTGGTCCCAACTACTACTGTTAAGTAGGAACTACCTATATAGGCAAGAGCAATAAGAATCAAGAAACTTGTTAAGCAACAACTGAAGAAGTGAATGGAAGAAGAATTACTGAGCTGCTGTTGATAAATGTTGTAGTCCAATATTCACTGAATTGGAAGGGATTTACTTCTGAGTAGACATGTGCAGGATTGTGTCTTTCCATAGCCTGGAAATATGCAATTAAAAATGGTAATGGTAATGTAATACCCAGTATAAAGTCAGAAAAACAAGGCGCTTTAACATCAGTTAGTGTTAAAATAAACTTAGTTAATGTGAATGTTTTTATGAGATATACACACAGGTTTCATGCAATATATGTAAAAAAAAAGCTTCAGTCATATGGTTGTGGTTGCCATTTTGGCTTTCTGACATCCTCTATGGATCTTACTAGAAAATTTGATTTTGGGGAGGGTTTTTTGCTCACGGGACATTGTGCAGAAGATACTTGTGGGTTATTATGTAAGGTGTTTTTTTTCTTGCGGTAAGGGTAGGGTTACACATGGAACAAAGATTGTTCTTAGGAAAAGGAGATATTTGGGAAAAAAGAAAAAAGTGCCATGCATTTCTAAGCACATCCTAAGAGCTCAAGAGACTGCCAGATTATGCTAAAATAAGCCAAGATCTTTATGCAAACATGCTTCTAACAATGATTTTCAGTGATAGTATATTGACAACCTCCCTCCCCAAGATTTCTTGGTTGTTATGGCTCAGATTTCCAAACAGTTACACACCTCCTAGCATAATATTAAGTGATACTCTTGTATTTAGTGGCTATATATTTGCCAGATGGTGTCCACTGAAGTCCTGGTTGTTTTTTCTAACGAAATGGCTGGGGTCACATGACAGCATTCCACTTCTGTCAATTAATTGTAATTAAAACACTCTGTTGATTTTTAATTATATTTTTGGCATCCCTAGAAGTGAAATCACATTGCATCCACTGCCTGAAAAGGTTGCTATATGTTAAATGAGTCAACACTTCAAAACTGGATTCCTGCCAGAATTTTTGCAAAAGATTATTCCAAGCATTAATATTCTAATGTTCTATACAATGTTAATAGAGAGACAAGTTGGTGTAGTGGTTAAGGCATCAGGCTAGAAATAGAAAGACAATGAGTTCTAGAAGGTGAGACTTGTCTTAGGCACAAAAGGCAGCTCGGTATGCTTGGGCCAGGCACTTTCTCTCAATCCTAGAAAGGAAGCGATGGCAAACCACTTCTGAAAAATTTTGCCAAGAAAACTGCAAGGACTTGTCCAGTCCCCAAGAATTGAACACAATTGAACAACAACGAAAATAATGTTAATATCAGAGACTCAAACTTCTTGATTCATCTCATCTCCAGGTCAATCCTAAACTGAAAACAAGGCGATACATCAGGAAGGCCCAGGGCTTTCTGGGTTAAAATCTAACCTATTGGAATTCATGCTTGCAAATACAGGAATTATGCGAAAACCAGAGTGCGGTGGTGAGGCTGGATCTGGGAACTCATAATCCCTGGGCCGTGCAGTCCACGCAGATGGAGGGGGGTTTGACGGCCCTGGGACTGGTGGGGTCCTCACAGAAGAGGCCATGGCTTGAGCCACCACCTGCAAGATCATGGCCTGGAGCTGGGCGGTGAATGAAGGTTGTTCCGGGGACTGGAGGCCCGCCGCCGTCAGAGTGAAAGATGCCGACGGGATCTGAGGTGGACCCGTAAGGGAGAAACTCCCCAGGATTCCACAAACTAGTGAGGGAGGGATGAGTTCGGTGACCAGAGCCGGATCTTGGACCTGCATCCTCAGATCCTGTTCAAAGAGAGAAAGATGATCCCGGCTGAATCCGAGTACGGGACCCTGTTCTAGGGCCTGTTCGGGAGACCAAGACCATGCAAAGGGTGAGGGGCGTGGACCCTCAGTTGTAGATGTAAGGAGGGGGGAAGTGGAGGCAGGTTGGACCTCCGCAGCACGTAGCTGGGCCTTTGGAAAATTGTTTTTCCAACGCCCTATGCCTGCTACCTGCCTGTTTTTCGGCCGCCTTAGAGGCCAGTTTAGTCTTGGCCTTGACCTTTGCGGCCACTTCTTGGTTGGGTGACTTGCATTTCTTATTTCCACTGGAAGTGGAAGCCTATGGAATGGTGTTATCCACCATGTTGAATAAAAACAGGAGTTTTCCATCAGGTCTCTGAAGCTGTCCTAATCTGCAGAAGGCTACGGCCCACCTAGGCGTTACAGGCCTACACGAGGGTCTGTGAAGTCCGGCCCGTTAAGCGCGGAGTCACATTGCACGATGTAAGTCGCACGTCACCCAAGGAGCGGTCCTTTCCCCCTTCAATTGTCCAGTGTCCTTGGTTCTTAGTATTGTAAACAATTGAGTTATTATTTATTTGTATTATTGTTTATTTATTAATTTTTTAATGGGGTTCCCTCGTGTCTCTCTTACTGGCGGCTAGGACAGCAATTGCCATCCACTAGATGCAGACAGCGGAACAGGCAAGGCAAGAAACCCAATTTATGTAACTGAATAGTTAATTTAGCAGGCAGGGATGTGGAAGGTGCTTAACGCTGTATATTTGAGGTAAATGTACATATAAGAACTGAGAAATGAGAATGAATTTGCACAATGCAGAGGCAAGACTTAGAAAAAAACCAGGGATATTTGAGTCAGAAAATTCTCATCAGCCACATGGTGGCCTAAAATGGCATCTGTAATGGAGAAGGAAGGGGCCTGTACACAATGAGGGATATAGGGGCCCCTATATCTCCATAGAGTCTCAAAAGGAACACTGTCCCTCGTCAATCAAAAGGAATTTTTTTGAGAGAAAAGCCCCCTCCAACTGTCCTGATGGCCTACGCTGCTAGGAAAGTTAACAGGCAAGGAGCAACGAAAATTACCAGGGGAAAGGAACGATCATGCGGCAAGCCTCAAAATGGCCCCGCAATGCTCCGTGAAAGAAAGTAAACAGGCGAGAGCTAATGTGGAGTTTTGACTGTAAGGGAAAACCACAGAAGAATCTGGCAGAATGCAACCAAAAGGGAGCCTGTGAAAAACTATAATCAAAGGGAAAACGATTGCCGTGCTGTGCAAAAAACGGCGATCACCACGATCAGCTGGTCAGCGGTGGAATACTTTCCAGGCAAAGAGAATAATGCTTAGATATAAGCTAGGGCAATGCTGAGCCCAGCGCTAAACTAGATTACAGAAGGAATGAAGAATCCACAAATGGAATAATACTACCTGTCCTCCTAAGTTATATTCAGGAGCCAAAGTTCCACATCTCTTCAGGGCTGAGACCAAAAAGAAACTGGGGCATGGTCAGGCCCTGCAGGGGCATGGCAACTTTGATTGATTGGTCTAATTGGGCTGGAGAACTTCTCTAAAACCCGTTCGTAGATTCTACATTCCTTACATGCTGGAGAACAAATTGAATTTAAAGCTGAATTATTTTTATTAGGAATAATTAATCAAAAGATAAAGAAGCAACTCCAATATATTATTGTACACATAGTAACAGCAGCACGTATTGTCTATGCGCAATGCTGGAAACTTAAAAATACACCAGCTAATAATATGATTATCCATAAGATATTAGAATGTGCAGAGATGTATAAGCTTACGCTAGAAATGAAAGGCAAGGAAGAAACAGAATTTTATGAGGTATGGGATAAGTGGTATAATTGGTTAGAACAGAGAAATAAAAATGTATAGCAATAAATGTACATGACACAGTACTGTTAAAAAAAGAAAAATGTTTATTGTTTTGTAAATTGGAAAAATGAAAAATATATATATATTGATCTTGCCGCCACAAGAAGGCAACGCTGTTGGCCACTAAGTGGAGCACAGAGGTGCGGCTGTACCATTAATTTGGGCTTGCCATTTTTGGTCCGGTCTCAGTTAATATAGCTTTCTTACAGCTAACTTCACCAGGTTGCTCTGCAGCCAAAGCGGACCTATTTTACCAGGCTCCATCACCAAGAGATTCCTCTCAGTCACAACGCTGAGATATCTCATGTGGCAACGGCAGACACCAACGTTGCTCAAACAGCACAGGATGCCTGAATCAGTCCCCCTGGACGTAAGAGGTCACGATCATCCAATCAGGAAGCAGTGCGAAGCAAATGACTGAAAAGAAAACAAATGTATTAATATGATTATTATTGTTTAGGAATATCGGAAAACTTTAAGAAGGATGAAATGTTTCAGATATTTAAAGGTGACTGAACTCAAGAAAAGAGAGAGAGAGAGAGAGAGAGAGAGAGAGAGAGAATGCTTTGAATTAGACTTAAGGGATTAGATGACTAGATTTATTGAATAGAATGTTTAAAGATTAAATATATTCTTAACTATGATTAAAAATAAGAAATTCAAGAAAATAAATACTGTATTTTCCAGCTTATAAGACGACTTTCTAAACCATGAAAATCTTCTCAAAAGTCGGGGGTCGTCTTATACGTCGGATGTCATCTTACAGGGTGGGTGCCGAAACGCATATCCCCAGGCCGGTCCGTGGTACCCCGGGTGCCTTCTGCTTCCTCCACCCCCCATACTTGGCCTTCCTGGGACCTCCGCCCATATTCCCATGCCCGGAGCAAGAGAGGAAGCGCTGCTTTCTGGGCATCGGAAGGGGCTTCCCCCTCCCAGCCCCCCATCCACCGGGGCCGGGGCACTCCATTGGACCAGGATCAGGGTTGTACGAATCACAGTGTGCCTCCTTTCCTGCCGTCCGGCCTGGCTCACCCTCCTGCAGGAGTTGGCCCTGGAAAGGTCAGGACAGCTGACTGGCCAGGGAGGCCGAGTAGCCCCGGCGAGGGAGCCGCTCCTGCACCATGGCCAGCTGGCCAGGAATCCCGTCCGGCTCGGGGAGCACGGGGGCCGCCTGACCGCCGCAGGGATGTCTACATCAGCTGCCTCCTGGCGGGCCCGCTAATTGTGAGCTCCCGGCCAGCTTTCTCTGTGAGTTAGGCACCCAGGATGTTGAGCCCTGCGAGGCCAACTCGTTGGGAGGCAGGGACGCCGCCAGCCAACCCCGCCGCCCATCACAACCCTACCTGAACTTCACCGGCGCCGTCGCTCCATTCCGACAGCACTGGTGGCTGGTCAATCCTGGCAACAGTAGCAGTGGCCATTAAACAGGGGAGCTGGTCACAGTGTTGTCGGCCTCCTCCTGGTTTCCCTCGGTGATACTGCAAGGCCGATGCCTGCTTGCGCGTGACGTCATCTCTTGGCACCTCGCAGGGCCGACATTGGACAGGGAGAGAGGCTGATTGCTGGGCGTATTGATGGACATGTTGCTGGATGGGCTGCTGGTCTGGAAAAGGCGCGGGGGGCTAGGCCCAGGGTTTATGCCTTCCAGGCCGGATGGTGGTTTGATGGGTGAGGTTAGGTCCAGTGTGGGTGGGGCAGGCATGCTCCCTATGTAAAGGCACTGGGAGCAAGCCATTCTCAGTGCCAACTTTATTCCTGTACGGATTGCGTTAAACTTCCGTTTGTCGCTCGTTCCTGCTTGCTGGCTATTTTGTGGAGCATCAAGATAGGATGACCTAACAGTAGGCACTCCTCTTTACCTACATCGTCCTCCTTTCCTTGTTCCTGCTGGCAGGAGGTGATTGCAGAAGGACATGGCAGAGGAAGTCCAAGGAGCTGATCCGGTGGAAGAGCTTCCTGAGTTGATCCTGGAGAAAAAGGCACCACCAGCGGTGGAGGCAGGGGAGGCCCAGCCATCAGTGAGGCCCAAGGAGAGGGCGCAGCAGCCGGTGGACATTGGAGGTGAATCAAGGCAGCAGGCTCCTGCAGCTGTTTCAGGGGATTGGTGGCTGAGTTCTGCCCTGCAACGTTCGGAGGCTGGTGGGCCATGTGTTACTGGTGGGGGGGAAGCGCTGTCTGGATGGAGAAAGAGGCATGTAACTGGTGATGAAGAATGGAGCTATTCGACAGTCCATGGGCAATATACGTTGGACGTCCTCTGGGACAGGTATGGGGAAACAGACTACCTGTACCCGCTGCCCAGGTGGTACCCCAGGTTCCAGGCCCCCAGCTGCCTCCTCTAGGTTCCAGCTGATCAGCCCAAGGTTCAAGCTTCCCCCTGGTGGTGATCCTGACCAATCTCGACACCGGCGAGAGTACCGAGCAGGTGTGGCCTCAACAGCTGTACCCACTGCTCAGCCTACGCTCTTCTCCAGGTCCTCAGGGTCATGGAGCCCAGGCCTGAGTGGTCGTCACACTATGACAGCGGATGGTGGCCAGCAGGCCGTGCAAGCCATGGGCCCATGGCCGTCAGGCGTGATGTGGGTTCCACTACCTATCGTGGTGTCTTTTGATGGAGACCCGGACCGGCTCGCAATGTTTATGGGACATGTTCACCTAGACCGCCTAGACCGGTGAACATCGGGTAGCAGAGTGCCCAGTCCCAGCAATAAAAACACCCCGATAGCCCAGGGTCCACGCCAAAGAAAACTCCGGACCGTTCGAGAGCGGTATGCCAGGAACTCCCCAGGAACTCTCCAGCGGCCCTCGAGTGAAGTAACAACGACCGTCCCCAACGATCCACTGGAAGAATATGACAACATGGATCCGGATGAAGATACCATGGTAAGCCAGCCAATATCTCCCTTCGCCATCCCGATCTCGCTGACAAGTCCAACTACATACCAAACTGGCGAATACCAGGCATTAATTGATTCAGGCTGTACCAGATGCCTGGTCAGTAAAGGGGTTACTGACTAAAGGGTCCATCGCCTAGCTCGCCCGATCCGATCCGAGCAGGTGGATGGGTCCCTTTTGGGTGGGGCCCCAGTTACGCTAGTGACAGAACCAGTAAGACTGGATATGGGGGAACATTGGGAAGTTCCATGAGAGGACGTGATTTTGGGGTTGGCATGGCTGGACACGTGGAGACCAACTATATGGTGGGAGGGTGAATGTCACCATATGCGCCTTGGCGTTGGCCCTCAACCACCAAGGATGGAGACTGGCGCAAAGGAAGGGGTGGAGGAAGGGGTCAAAGCAGCATTGGATCCAGAACGGGCTCCTGGATTCCCAGCGGTATATGATGATCTTGCGGAGGTTTAGCGAGCAGGAATGCGACAGCCTGCCACCTCACCGTCCAATCGACTGTGCCATTGATATATTGCCGGGGGCTAAACTACCGAAGTCCCGTATGTACCCCATGACGCCGCGGGAGTTGGAGGAATTAAGGTGTTACATAGACAAGAACCTGGCACGGGGGTTCATATAGCCGGGACGGTCTCGGATAGCAGTGTCAGTGTTATTTCAGGAGAGAAAAGATGGAGGACTTCGACTCAGTGTGGACTTCCGGGGCATCTGTATAGAATATATGTACCCGCTCCCTTTAATAAAGGATCTCCTGGTCCACCTAGACCAGGGTAGGATCTTTACAAAGTTAGATCTATGGGAGGCCTATTACTGAGTCAGAATCAAGCCCGGGGATGAGCTGGGAAGTTATCAGTTTAGGGTTATGCCCTTTGGTTTGCAAGGCACCCCTGCAGTTTTCATGCAACTCATTAACGGAGTCCTACATGAACACCTGTACCGTGGGGTGCTAGTATATCTTGACGATATACTGATATATACAGACATAATGGAGGAACATGTCAAAAACTGCTTGATGCCTAGTTATATATGAAATTATCAAAACGTGAGTTCCACCAATCCCGCCTAGACTACCTGGGTTACAGGATATCAGCAGCAGGGGTGGAGATGGACCCCAAAAAAGTACAGAGTGTGTTGGAATGGCAAGCCCTGTGAACACGCCATCAGTTACAAAGCTTTTTAGGATTTGCTAACTTCTGTAGGCAATTTATTCCTTCGTTTGCTACGGTGGCCTTGCCTCTCACAAACCTGCTGCAGATCCGGCTGAGTACCACACGACCACAGCCTGGACAACCACTAACCTGGACAACGGAGTGCCAGACTGCTTTTGAGGCTTTGAAAGCTCTTTGTCAGGGAACCGGTTCTGTTGCACCCGGATCCTGAACAGCCATTTGTGGTACAGGAGGATCCAGTGATGTAGCGGTGGGGGCGGTATTGCTCCAGCGAAACTTGGATGGGAGATTGTGGAAGTTGACAGGAGCTGAGCAAGCATGGGCCATCTGGGAGAAGGAGGCGTTCGCAGTAAAGTGGGCCCTGTCCATGTGGCGGCATTTGCTACAGGGGGCAAAACATGAATTTGAAGTCTGGACCGATCATAAAAACTTAGAGGTGCTGCAAACTCTCAAGAGGTTGCCCCCACAACATGTGCACTGGGCACAATACTTCCACCAGTTTTGCCTCAAATATGTACCAGGAGGCAGAAACTTCCTGGTGGATGCATTGACCACATTGCCGCAATAAGACAGCAAACGGAAGGAGGTGGTACAGGCAATCATGCCTCCGTATAGGCAGGATGAAGCAAAGGCAGTTTCCAGTCCGGCAACCACGGCTCTTGAGGACGAACTGAGAACAGCTCTCGCGCATGACCCATGGCTTCAGGAGATGTTGACTCAGCATCTCAGGATCTCAGCATCTCAGGATGGCCTGGCCTGGTACGGCAACAAATTGTATGTTCCGCAGACGCTACGCAGTCGCATATTCTACTGTTGTCATGACTCCAAACAGGCGGGCCACTTCAGATATTTGAAAACATTGCATCTAGCCAGACATCAATTTTGGTGGCCCCGAATGAGGACAGATGTGGAAAAGTATGTAAGGAGCTGCCCTGCGTGTGCCACTTCCAAGCCCAACATGGGAAAAACCATGGGGTTGTTGCAGTCGGTGGCTGAGCCAGATCAACCTGCCCAACGGTAGAGGATATACGGTGATCTGGACTTTGGTCGATCTGTTCTCTAAGCAAGCCCATTACGTTCCCTGTAAGGGATTACCATCGGCTCGGAGGTTGGCCCGCATATTTTTGTCACATATCTACCGTCTTCATGGGGCCCTGCGTCAGATTATCTCGGATCGCGGGGTTCAATTTACGGCTCGTTTTTGGCACGACTTTGTATGCCTGCTCGGCTCTTCCCAAGGACTACGTTCGGCGTACCACCTGAGTACAAATGGAGCTGCAGAACGGGTGAATGCAGCGGTGGAACGATACCTTCGGAGCTATGTCTCTTACCAGCAGACAG